ATGGTCCTATTTTTCAGGTTCAGATCCATTTCCCATGATTCTCTCCATCCCAGCGATGATCACCTCAGCCTCGTTGTGATGGGCTGCCTTTTCATCACAATCTTCACCTTTATGGTGCACTTATGGCTAGGAATGAGAACCGGATAAGGTATCAACGGTATCACATCAAACACGAAACCATTATCATCCTTTCGCCGTCTACATATGTAGTAGACGAGCTTGAGTTATGGTGTGATGGAAAGATGTTGGTTTCCGGCGCCGTATCACACCGGTGATAACGCGACTCTTCAACAAAAGCCCCACCTATCGCTATTTAGGTAGGTTTCTACCCCAGTGCATCTTTCGCTTTCAAAAGCACTGGGTTTATCGCATTCGCTGCCTTTAGATCAAATTTCTGGCACCTACTACGAAGATCGATGAAAACCGTGTGAAAAGCAAACTACGTTACTCCGAATGGTGCAGAATTTGCATCAATTATTAAACAAATTTTTGAAAAATACATTTATTGAAATTCAATATTTTTAAAATTTAATAATACGCTCTATATATTAGATCTTCTTGAGAATCAGTGTTAAAGCCGAAGTGAACCAGTAACATGTGGTGCGATTTGAAATATATGCAATATAAAACATGGCAAACGATCATGAGGAATCCTGAACTAATCGTAGGTATCCGTAAATTTGCTTAACGACGATCCACCTTCTCAACGACTTCCCAAAATCTAAAATATGTCACTTTTGTCAGTGTCAATCCAATTCCTATCTTTCTGAGCGAACATTTTCACCTTTCGCTATAAGCAGGACGCTGAAAAACAAGAGCAGCTTCATTGAATGCTTCTGTAATGAAGTCCTCAAGCTTCATTTGAGAAACTGGTGCTGAAATAGATAATAACAGAAACATCAGAGCGAAACAGTTCGCTGCTGCTTGAGTGAACTCGCTACCAACGGCTCAAAGGCAAAGTTCGGGCTCAGACCCACCTAAGAAGCCCTTACCATGGCTAGAAGTGCTGGGTACGCAAGTGCAAAGGTAGCGCCACCTTTCTACATCGAAACGCGTCACTAGGACCCTAGGCGCCATGGACTTCTAACAGACTCCACCAAACTTAACATGGTCCGCCCACCGTTCGATATCTTGTCTGCGTCGCCACGTTGATCTGCTATGCTCTCTCTTCTCGGACTTCTCTACCGCTCTCCGCGCTCACATTATCTCTCATCTCCCTGCCTGTCTTTTGAACTTCTCCACAGCATAGAGCAAAATGCTCGTA